CCTGGAATCTATCTGGTGTTTTGGTTTCTTTTGTTTTATTTGAGGGGTTTACCAGGAATCAAACTCAGGACCTCATGCTTGCCGTGCAGGCACTGCACCACTGAGCTAAATCCCTGGCCCTAAGAAATCTGTACGAGAACTTAATGAGCTCTTCTCTCAAGCCCTTCTGTCAGCATGAACTTGAATGTTTTGTCCTTGGATTATTCTACTTGGGAGATGTTACAATTCCGGAGAAGTGCTGTTAGCCAGGCTGGTATCGGCCCATGCCTGGCTAAGGCAAAGTGAGAGCTTCCTAAATGACAGTCCTGCCACTGCCAACCAGTTCAGAAGGCGCATTCCCAAAGCAAGGTTGGAGCAGTCACCAATAAAAGGATGCCATGCATTCGAAAATGACATGACCACTAATACTTACTTTTCCAGGGAGCCTGTTTTGTCCGCAGTGTGCTCTGTTAGCCTCCCTTTTCTCTTCTGCTGTCTGGTTTTCCCTCTGTACTGCCGCCGCCTCAGCTCACAAGCACACGCAGCTCTCACGTGTCTCCCTAAGAATCCTCCCCTTACGCTTGTATGTATGTCCTTGTTACTGTCCAGTCCTTCTCCCTTTCTCATGTAAATTTATTAAAAGAAAGTTATGCTTTCTGCTCTGTCCACTTTCTTTTCTCTCATTTGCTTCTCTTTTTGTTGTTGTTTTCTGGTACCAGGAATTAAACTCAGGACCTCGCACTTACTAGGCAGGCACTGTGCCATTGAGCTATATCCTGGCCTTTCCATTTGTTTCTTTATTATTTTGCATCAGCAAGCATCATTCTGTTAAAATTTAAATTGTCAAGGTTACCACTGGTTCCAGTTTTATGTTGTTGTTTTTTTTTGGATACTGGAAATCAAACTCAGAACCTCACACTTGCTAGGCTGAGCTATATTGCTGGCCCACTGTTGGCTTCCTGATTGTCAGATCTTTTCATCATTCTCACTGAGCTAACCTTTACATACTTAATGTAAAAATATATTGTGAAGTTGAAATAAAAGCTTGGGTTGTGAATACAGTGTATCAGATCCACAGAGCCAGTGCTTTTCCCCTAGATCGTTCGGCATGGAGGCAGCCTGGGCCTTGGTTTGGCTGCCATGGGAACTGCGCGCCAGGATGTGTACGATTTGCTGAAAACAAATCTTTATCAGGATGATGCTGTGACGGGTGAGTGACGACAACAACTTTAGGATTAATACCAAGTGTTATTTCTTCTACTTTTTTTGCAGCCTGATAAAAATCTAATATTTTTCTCTTCTTGAAGAAGTGGACTTTGCCAATTTTGTCAGATTTATAAAGCCACATTTTGCAATATGTAAGGTTTTCTAAAACATATCCTGTATGTACTTTTAGAACTTTTTTGTTAACATAGACACATTTGTTTCCTAGCCAAAAGGATTATCCTGGTTAAATCAACACTTTGAAATAGTTGCATGTACATGCTTGTGATACAGATAATTGAACAAAATAACGAGGAAAAAAAAAAAACAAGTATGGAGATTTGCTCACTGAACTGAGCTTGTTCATTCTCGGAGCTAATGGTGGGGTGATAGTGGAATTTTTTTCTGGTTTTTCATAGACCTGAGTACAGGTGACAGTGCTCACGGTACTCCACCACTCACTTCCCACCGTGCGGTTTTCGGGTTATTGTGAGTCCTTCCTGGCTTTCCGCTGATGCTGAACTGCTGCACCCTCTGAAAGTCTCAACCCTGAATTTTTCTGCCATCAGTTGTAGTTTCTTCACACTTCTCTCTCAGGTTACAAGAAAACTGTTCTTTTTATAGTGCTCTTGGTTTTACAGTGAGGTTGTTGCTGTCACAGTGATGATACAACCTGGCGTGGCTGTCGCACATATCTTCCTCATAGGTGCTCCCACTTTGAACTCCTTTGTGTAGTCCTCGAAGCCTTGCCCTCTTCCTATTAGCCACTGAAAGATGGTCATAGTGGATGTGTGCAGAGAAGCTGTTTGGCATACACCCTGCTGTCATAGAACTGATAGTTACAAATTACTTATTAGCGTAATCTGGTATCAGGAGGACGTCAGTAGTGCATGCTGATGATGTAGAAAAAAGTGTTGCCTTAATGACTCCTTTGAAGCTGTCGTAGGAAGTGATGGTACACTCTGTCAAAGTGTAAGAGGAAAATAGCTATAAATACGTGGAGGTACCTCCACATAATGTCTTCCTTTTTATCAAGTGTTTTTAAGAAAAATGCTACAGGCTGGGCATGGTGGCATAACTATGAGCTCAGTACTCGGGAGACTGAGGCAGTAGGACTGCTGTGAGTTCAAGGTCAGCTTGGGATATAAGGTGAGTTCAAGACCAGCCTGCAATATATGGGAAGACCCTGTCTAGGAAAAAAAAAAAAAAAAACGTAGAGAAGCTGGTTACAGTTGTCTGGATGACTGATGCAGACAGATGCTACTTTCACACATGCGCTGCTGAAATGAGCACAGTAGATGCTACTTCCAGTTGGGTGTGCCTGACTGACTATAAATAGCTCTTTTATTTTACTCTGCTTTCTAGGAGAAGCAGCTGGCCTGGCCCTAGGTTTGGTTATGTTGGGCTCTAAAAATGCCCAGGCTATCGAGGACATGGTCGGCTATGCTCAAGAGACACAGCATGAGAAAATCCTGCGTGGGCTGGCTGTGGGCATTGCTCTGGTGATGTACGGGAGGATGGAGGAGGCTGATGCGCTCATTGAGTCGCTCTGTCGGGATAAGGTAAGGACCATTTGTTCTCTTCCCCAGCGTCTCATCCATGGCTCTGGGATTACCTGTTTCCATTGGAAAACTTAGGTGCCTTTGTTCATAAAACCGCCCAGGTGTATAAATTCTAATGAAATTTAAGAAAAGAACAATACTGGTTAGAAGAGACGAATGGGAATAATTTGAGGATCTGAAATTTAGCCTAGGCTTGAAGATTCAAATAAGCAAACTAGAGAACTTCTTTAGGAATTTTTGTTGAGTTCTTTAGAAATAATGTTTTAGAACTGATTTAGTAAATACAAAGTTTACCACATTCTTTTATCAGGAAACAGTGACAATCTCTATATGTCTTTATTTTGTTATTATTGTCTTTTTTTTTTTTACTGGAAATTAAACTCATGACCTCATGCTTGCCAAGCACGCACTGTGCCGCTGAGCTATGTCCCTGGAAATATCCTTATTTCGTTAAGGGTTTTTTTGTTGCCTTTTTGTTTTTACAGTAACACTGGGTATGGTAGATAGCAGTAGTACTGACTCTAAAATCTGTCTTTGTGTGTGTAGTACTGGGGATTGAACTCGGGGCCTTTACCCTCGAGCTACATCCCTAGCCCTGTCCTCTAAAATCTGAACACTGCTGGAGTTTATTGATTAAATCAAGTAATTCATTTTTTCCATGTCAGTTATGTCTCACTCAGTGTTCAGTGCCTAGAAAATAAATAATAAGGTAAAAGTAATTTAGAATGTAGAATTAGAAGTCAGCTTCTTTGTTGTTTAATAAACAGAAATTGACTATCATAGAGATGTGGGTATTACTATTGATCTCAGTTTATACTTTCTAGAAAGTACCAGGCAGAATAGACTTTTAACACAAGATATTGGAAATTAAGAATAACTAATTCCTTTAATGTGTCTGTCATTTAGAAAACTACCAACCCATAAGTCTCTTTAAGTTCATAGTTTCCTACCTAAAACTAACTTACCTAGTAGTCGGTTGGTAACAGTTCTGGCTTTTGTTTGTTTGGTGTTTTGTGAAGGGTTTTGTTTTGGTTTGGTGTTTGGTTTTTGAGATGGAGTCTCTGTGCTCTCCAGGCTGTACTCAAACTCCTGGATACAAGCAGTGCTCCCTCCTTGGCCTCCTGAGTTGCTAGGACTCTAGGCTTGCAGAACTATAACTGCAGCAGTTACTCTTTGAAGTGATCAGTTGATGATTAATATTGAATTATTCTTTCTTAGGACCCAATTCTTCGAAGGTCTGGAATGTATACAGTGGCCATGGCTTATTGTGGCTCTGGTAACAACAAAGCTATTCGACGCCTGCTGCATGTTGCTGTGAGTAGCTCGACGTTTCTTGGTGAATGGGTGGAAGGGAAGGTTTGCAGGTGGATGATGAATGTCACAGTCCATCCATACATGCAGAGCAGAAGGCAGTGTCATGGCTCAAGTTCAGGTCTCCTTCACTGAAAACGGTGGTGCTTAACCCAGCCCTGGATTTATGGACAGGCTAATTGGAGGGCAGTATAAATGGATGTCTTTAAAGCCACTTAAGTGCAATTTCTGAAACCCAACTCCAAAGGACACCCTCAATTGTGAGGCACTCTCACCGTTGTAAGAAAGTATAGATGTCCTAGTGTAGGGAAATCTAATGAATGAGGAACCACTTCTTTCCCAGGCCATGAAATTAGCCTTCAGGGACCCTCCAGAGTGTATCTTACAAGAGATCCAGTGCCTGTGTTCTCCAGCTAGACTTTTCCAAAGTCCTCTAAATAGTATGTAGTTTAGCAAGAATAAGCAGCACTCTCTGGTCATCCAGTGGACATTCCATAGACGTCCTGATTTAGTGGGTTTCTGTCGCCTTGTTGCTAGGAGTGGGTAAAACCCAGAATCACTCTCCCCTGTAGAAAGGTTTAGACTGTTACTTATCCCTTCTTCCCAGAGATACTCAGATCCTACAATATGTATTTGTACTGGCCTTTATCAATGCATTGGTGTTGAACCCTAAACATTTGGATTTTGCTTGAACTTAGGACATATTTTATAATATTGAAGAAATGATTAGGTTCTCAGTATAACCCAGAAATGACACTGCAACTGAGAAGTTATTGTCTTTCCTTTTTAGAATTTTTTGAAAGACACAAAGTTGTAGATTAATTTTATTTTATTTGTTTTGAGACAAGATCTCACTATGTAGTTCAAACTGGTCTTACACTCATTTTGTAGCCCAGGCTAGTCTCAAATTCACAATAATCCTTCTGCCTCAGCCTCTTGAGTGCTGGAATTATAGGCGTGTGCTACCACACCCAGCTAAAATTATAGTTTTAAAAATAGCATAATGTCACAAACTGAAAACCAGGAACAAAAGGAACTGTAGTTTTTCCTGAGAGGACAATCTATTAGCTATAAATGGACGTTCTCTTTCCTACCTTTCGTGAAACAAAGATTACTTTTCCTATTTCAAAGGTGTTAGAAAGTGCTAAACAGTTGTTCAGGTGCAAAGTTTCAGTCCTCTAAGGAAGATTAAAAAACATCAAAAGCTGCTACGTGCCCCTTCTCTCTCTTTTTGTTTTGTTTTGGTTTATTTGTTTGATTTTTTGTTTGTTTGTTTGTTTTAAGACAAGCCCTTGCTCTAAAGTCCACATTAGCCTCAAATTCATGGCAATCCTCCTGCCTCAACCTCATGAGTACTGGGATTACAGGCATGTGCTGCCACATCTGACTCCTTTCTTGTAATACCAGATTGTACATAGTGTTTACATGCATTTGAGAATTTTACACTTACGATCTAAATTTTTTAAATCAGGTTACATTTTAGTAAAGTCTTACTAACCCTTTTGGGGGAAGGAGTTGAGACAGGGTCTCACTGTGTAGTTCAGGCTAACCTTGAAGTCAGAGTGATCCATCTGCTTCATCCTCCCTAGTGCTAGAATTACAGGCTTGTGCCACCACACCTGGCAAATTCTTACTACCATATAGAATGTCCAAAGCATCTGAGCTGGGTCTCAACAGCTGAATGGTGGCAGATCAAGAAGAGCTACCATGCTATCACTGCAGCCTAAACCAGTAAAAAGGCACCCATCCTAGATGTAGCTACCTGTTTATACTGCAACCTGGTCCCCAAACACTGGGTCAGCATGCAAAACAGGTTAAATCCTAAAGGTCCATTAATTACAAACCCACAACAAAAGGTCTACCAGACATAATTCACAAAGCCCTAAATTTTGTCCTTCCTGATCCTTGGTTTTTCTTAATTTTGTCCTGATAAATCTTCTAAACTAAAAACTTTTCATTCTTAATTACCTACAATAGTTAAGAAAATGGTTAATTTCATTCTAATCATGATTGCTTGCTTATGCTAAATTTTAATTTGCATAGGTAATAGGAAAGCTTGAATGAATTTTTCTCAAGCTCCTTTTGTTGTTGTTGTTTGTTTGTTTTCAGATGGGTCTTACTCTATAATTCAGTCATATAAACTCACTTTGTAGCCCAGGCTGGCCTCAAACTTGCAGCAATCCTCCTGCCTCAGCCTCCTGAGGGCTGGGATTACAGGCTTGTGCCACCACACCTGGCCGATTTCTGCTAAATTGAGAAAGACATTTTTAAAATACATGTGTTGTTTTTAAAGTTTTATTATATATATTCAAGGTGTGCAATATTTCATCATACATGGGGAAAGATTCTAATTAGGGAATGTTGTTGATGACACCTCGTTTATATTAGAATGCTGGCTGCATCATGTCAGTTTAGTAATAGAGAAATAATATGATAGACTCATCTTCAACTTCTTTTCCCAGGTCAGTGATGTTAATGACGATGTTAGGAGGGCGGCGGTTGAATCACTTGGCTTCATTCTATTCAGGTAATAATTTCGAACTTTGGATTGTGGTCAGCTCAACAGGAATATATCTAGATCCAGAGTGCGGACCTTTTGGTGATAAGTCCTGTTCATCCGAAAGAGGATACAGAATAGTATGATTTCTGAGAATTTATTCGGGAAGAAACAAAACTGTTCTGCTGATTTAATTTTGTAAATTCCAAAGAAGATCTCTAGTGCCCCTTATTGTGTATATTGGTAATTCAATTAGGATGTTACACAAGTTTATAAAGTGTCTTAAAGCTCTTTAATGAAAATGAAAGCTAATAGGCCTTGCTTAATTGCAAAAACATGAATATTTTGCAGATTGAAAAATTATTTTGAACTTGCAGACGCTTAACATGATCTTGGCAGGACAGTGTAGTTGTGTTTAAAAAGACACACTCTAAACCAGTCTGCCTGCACTGACTCTTGACTCAACGTCTTACTACCTGAATGATTTTAATAAAGTTACTCAGGCTCTAGTAGCCTGTTTCTTCAGGTATAAAATGGGGATAATAGTACATATTAGAGAATGATGGTTATTTTTGATAGTTAAGCAAATTAATACATCTAATGCCGTTAGACTAGTCTTTGGCACTAGTAAGCACTGTTGAAGTGTGTGTTGGTCATTGTAGCAGTCAGAGTAGTGCTGGTGGCAATGAGTGTAGGAGTCTTTTATTACTGTCTGCTTAGCTCCAATCTCAAATATCAGTGTTTCTTTTACTTTACTTAAAAGTTCCATGAAGAAAAGTTCAGAATATTTATTTAGCCGTATTTAGACCCTGCCTGTAGCTAATGTGCAATCAGTTCCTATGGTACGTGCCACTTTTCCTGGGAGTGAAACTGTGTAAGGATTGTGATGTTCTAAATGTGGACTTTTGAAAATGTGCTGTGAACCAGGCATGTGATCCTCTGCATAATATCCCAGATAGACAGTCACCTTACTGCAGACTGACACACATTTTCTTTCTACTGTGGATAGGGATGGAGTGAAGGCATGCCATGGTGAGGGTTGTAGTCTAGCTTAGCCTGCATGAGACCCCGGATTCTCCAGCACCACACACTAAAAACAGAAAACAAACCAAGCATAGTGACATGTGCCTATAATCCTAGCACTCTCAGAGGTTGATGCAAGAGGACCAGATGTTCAGACTTAGCCTGGTGACTTAGCTGGGCCTTGCTGCAAGTTTAAAAAAGTGGCGGAGGTAGCTCATAGCATGCTAACAGGTTTCTTACTGTACCAGTTTTCCTCAGTGAGGTTTTTCAACCAAATACTGATGTCCTTGCTATTATCCTTTTTCTTTTTTTAAATTTTATTTTAAAGAGAATAAAATCAAGCAACATAAAACAGAATAAAGCAAATCAAAATAAGACACAGTGTAAGTGACACAGGATTTCAAAACAAGGTAATAGGAAATCAATAGTGGTGGTCTTCAAAATAGCTGCCCATAGCTTCAGATATAGTAAAATAAAAAAAACAGAATAGAACTGATCAAAACAAAATAGTGAATGAAATACAGGACTTCAAAACAAGATGATAAGGGGCTGGGGATTTAGCTCAGCGGCATAAGGGCCTGCCTTGCAAAGAGGCAGTTGTGAGTTCGATCCCTGGTACCGATAAAAAGGAAAACAAACAAACAAACAAACAAACAAAACAAGATGATAGTAAATCTAAAATGGCTATCACAGTATATTTTGTTATCTTTGAAATGGCTGCCCATGCCATCAAATATAATAAAATCAAACAAGATAAAACAATAAAACCCAACCAAACAAAACAATGAGAATGATACAGGACTTGGAAACAAGAGAATAGGAATTTAGCAATGATTACCACCTTCAGAAGGAGATCCCCCATAGCTGCTACACTGCACACTACCATCCTCCAAATAGAAAATCAGGCTACTGGCTTCAGGCCTGCAAAATCAATGAAACACTAAACACTATCAGCATGTAAGTATTTCACCTTATTAGCTATCATCACAGCCTGTATCCTGGACTAGCCGGTCATCCATGGCAGGGGGCGTTGAGGGACACAGGACTTTGGCTCTTGTCTCCCTGGCATTTGCTTTTTCTAGGCAGCTTGTGCGTGGCTCTGACCCACAGGAGGTCTTAGCTTCTTGTTGACTTCTTCTTCTCCTCCCCCACAGTCTGCAGATGGCAGCAACTCACAGGGGACAGCTGGTGTCTGGCTCTTCCAGTCAGCCAGCCTGCATGTTCTTTTCTCCTTTTTTTTTTTTTTTCTTTTTTTGATGTTGGTTTTTTGAGACAGGATCTTGCTATATAGTTGAGGATGGCCTTGAACTCACTGTGTTGCCTAGGCTGGCCTCAAACTTTTAATCATCCCCATCTCAGCCCCTCTGTTACAATTTTATGTCAACTTAGTGTATACTGTTTGTTCTCTTTTCCGACCCATTTTCTTTTCAAACTCATTATTTATGTTCTGGATGCTATAATTTTTCCTTGGTTAAGTTTTGTGTTTTTCATTTTTTTTGCACACCTTTGTTTTCCTTTCTTTACTAGATAATATGAAGCAAAATGAAAGTTTTTAAGTCAGTTTAAGCAGTTGTAATCTAGTTCCCTGTTTTGAAGATAAGCCTATTAAATAGAATCTATTATCCAATGAGTTTTTACTGCTAAATTTGCTTTTACATTATAGATTTAACATATTCATAAATAGAAATAATGCATCAAAGTATGTACTTTTTATGTAAATAGTTAATATTGGAATTGTATTTCATCTTACAGAATATTCTGGAAGTAGTAGAATGACCTCATTAATTGTAGAAAAATTTCAGTTGATTGTAAGCAAAGACTTTTTTAGATGTGAAGCGAAGTAGATTTTCAATGTTACAGCTAATTTTGTAAGTTCACATATATTTAAGCATATACACAAGTTTAAAAGCAATACAGAGCATGTGGAAGGATAGATCTGATCTAGGTCGTAATGGGTAGGGCTTTGGTAGTACGATTGGAAACTATGGTATTTAGATTTCTTGAAAGAATTATGTATGCCTTCAGATACATAAAATAGAGAATTTCAAATACTGTATTGTTACTGTAGTATCTGAAAACTTAATCTCGTATATTTGGCAAGAATGTGTGCCATACTCATCATACTAGATTGTAGAACCAAAATAAAGAATGATTTTTAGTGGTTGCAGATAACCCAACCTTAAAACTGCTGAAGCTGGGCACATGCCTAGCACTCAGGAGGCTGAGACAGGAGGATCACTACTAGTTTGAGACCTGTCTGAGCTACGTAGTGAGTTCAACACCAAGCTGGACTAGATACCAAGACCCTGTATCACAGAACAAAATACAAAAAAAAGAAAGAAAAAGAAAAACTTAGACTAGTAGAGAAAAGTACCTGAACTTTGATAATTTAGAAACTTAATTTCTAGAATATATTTTTCCTAATAGATGATATAAAATCCATAAGTAAAGGTAACAGATTGGAATGTGTGTATTTGGATCCATGTCCTAGTAAAGGATTCTCCCACTGGGAGAATGTTTCTTCTTCATTTGCCCTGATCTTTCCATAACCTGTTCCCTAAACCCAGCTGCCTAGGAAAGGTCAGTGATAGAGCGAAAGGCTGAAGAGTAAGTGTGGATCCACTTTTTTTCTTTGTTGGTTTTGTTTTGTTCTTTTGGGTTTTTTTTTTTGGTACAGGGGATTAAACTCATGACCTTGTGCTTGCCAAGAAGGTGCTTATGCCACGAGCTAAATCCCCAGCCCTCAATCAGCTTTAAATGCAAAGCTGAGGTATGGCTATCCTCACTACTAATGTCAGCCTCAATTTGTTTCCCACCTCTAGAAGTAGCATTTTAAAAAAAGAAAAAAAAAAATCAAAATTCAGTAGACAGAAGCGGCTACCACGTACTTAGTGCCTACCGCTGCATCCTCATAAGAACTTCATGAAACACAAATGAGAAAACCAAGAATCATGGGAAATTAGGTATCATTTGCAAATTCATCAGCTTTCCATTAAATGGCACAGATTGAACTCATTTCCAGATCCAGCTGTGCAAAATAAATAATAAAAGTGTGAATGAAAAATTTTGTGCCAGTTCAGCTGAGTCACTGGGCAAAGACAGGCAGTCATGGACTGTTTAAGATATTGCTTACTGTTGAGACCTCATGCAGCTAACTCTTGCATATTTATTAATACCTTCAAGGAATGTGATTCGCATACTTGAGCAATTTCATTTGCTTCCTTCTCTCGTAGACCCTCTGCTAATTAGATGCCTGGTACCAGTCCTCAAACCAACAGTTTTAGTTCTAAGATCCTATTATATGGGGTATCTGGCTACTGACCTCCTATACCTTCTATCAAGACAGTTTCCTGAGTGAAGGAAAATTACAACTATATTTAACTAAACCAGACTGTAATTGGCTGACTTAACTCCTCTCCAGATGTGATCATTGTTTTGTGCACTTAATTTTAGTCCTTGATCCTGTCATTTGTTCATTCCTTACACTTTTATGGTCTTTTTAAAATTTTTGTGTGTGTGTGTGGTACCGAAGATCGAACTCACGACCTTGCACTTGCCAGGCAGGCGCTTATGCCACTGAGCTGAATCTGTGGCCCTAAATTTTTTTTTAAGAGTAGAAGGGTCTTTAATGCAGGCATAGGAGAGCTGCAGAGAGGTTCAGGAGCTCAGACAGGTGCTGTTTCACTGAGCTATATCACTGGCCACTTTTATGGTCTTAAAGACAAGGCTCATGCTTGTTCGTTTTATTCTTAGCACGACTTTGCATAAAATTAGGATCTAAATAAGTTTTATGAAATTGATTTTTATAAGCCTGAAATTTATTGACTTACTTCATTTGAAAACCATAACATTTAACCTGGATTGCTTTTGTTTATAGCTGTTCAAAATTATTTTTTTGGTGAAGTAATTTTGTCCAAATAAGAAAATTGGGTAATCATAAATATTCAACTCAATTTGAAGAGATGATTTGACATGTGGCCTAAAGTAATTATTTACGTATTCTTTCAGTCTTGTTCATCAGCTTACTTAGATGAAAACTTTACTAGTTGTGCTAGACATAACTGACTTGCTCTTCAGTTTTGTCACCTTCATTTTCAGTGAGGAGAGGTGTGTCTAGCAGAATGATTGAGGAAGACTGAGTGGTTGAGTTTCGGAGCCTCACTGGGCTCTGGTACATGGTAGAATTAATCCCATTTCGCATTCCATGTTTCATGAAAAATTTAGAGTTCTCTGTCATCGGATTCCGGAAGTAGATCTTATTGGAACATTTTCTAACAGTTTTTACAGACTTTGTAGCCTTGTAATTACAGGTGATATATCTGCCAAATGCATCCCGAAACGTCTTGTTGAAGAGGGTATAGACCAAAGGATTTACCCCTGAGGAAACATAGCCTATCCACACAAAAATCTCCAGGAGCATTTGGAGAGTACTCTGGTTGCAGGAATCACACAGAGCTAAAGTTATATTTGTAATAAAAAAAGGGCACCACATAAGCAAAAAGAGGAAAAATACAATTCCAAGGACCTTTGAGGCTCTCTGCTCATTGGAAATGGTTTGTGTAGACTTTTTTCCAATTGTGGACATTTGTCGCGTAAGGGTTTCATCACTTGAGTTGGGCAGAGTTTTGTCCTTGTGAAAGCCATCCAGCATTGCTGCCTTCTCAGGTGATGAGCTGGGAGTTTCATCTCTTTGGAATACTGTGGACACATTCAGCCACGTTAGACTCTGAGGCGCCTTGTTTTTGAGTAAGTAAGCTTTCTTCTGTAGAGCGTGAATGGTGAGAAAGTAAGTAACAATCATGATTGCAAGAGGCGTGAAGAAGGCAGCCAGCGAACCAAAAAGCATGAAATTGCCAAAACGCTCCTTGGTCAGCGCACAGGTGATATTGTTTGGATTAGGCACATCAGTATCTATCCCTTTAATAGGGACTGGAATGGCAATGCCTAAGGAAAAGGAAACAGGATAAATTGAGTCACTTTATAACCTATACCTCTCAGGTTTGGCCCTTTCAGATTTGTTCCCTAGGAATTTTATGCTAGTTAGTACACTGTAGTTCCTGGCGCCTGCAGTAGGCACTGTCAGGAAGATGTCTGACAGGAGAACCTAGGTAAGCACATCTGCTGATCTAAATTGGCTAGTGTGCTGATGATGAACCTTAAGAGCTTTCAGTGGGAACAGCCAGCAATCTGCTACCCGCAGGTTTACCACCGCTGTGTTAATGATGGGAGGTTTGTAATAAAAGCTCCCCTACACCTGTACAGTATGTCCATGATAGAGTAGGAAATGTCTTCATTTTTTCTGTTTTTCATAAGCTATTTTTTTTTTGTGGTTATACAGTTTAATTTTTATCTTTTGATATTTGAGTGTCTTTTAAACGTTTAACTTTTTAGGGAAACTAAAGGGTTAATTTTTTCTTTTAAAAATACTACTTACTGTTTGTAAGATTTAGAGTTCTTCTGATATGAGTGAAAGCTAAATCCTGCAAATTTTTTAATACTTTAAATAAATACCATGAAGTAGATACTTTAATATGGTGTTACATAGTGAAATATGTAATTTATTAGAAGAGTGAATAATACAAGATTAAAGCAAATCTTTTCTCTTTTTTTTTTTAGTTAGTACTGGGGATCAAACTCATAACCAGACACTTGTAAGGCAGGCGCTTATGCCACTGAGCTAAATCCCCAACCCCAAATCTTTTCTCTTTAAAGCAGCAGATATTTCTTAAATATCTGAATCAACTGATCTTTTGTTTTATACTGTTTCATGAATCCGAAAGCACTATATTCTCTGCACAGCCTTGTCATGAGCCTTGCCAAGAACATTTCCATCAATCTCTTCTTAATGGAGTCCAATACTATTTTCATCAAGCAGAAAAAAGATGCTGTCTACTTATTTTGCACTAGAGGTCAGCACACTACAGCTTAAGCTCAAATCTGGCTCACATTCTGTTTCCATAAAAGTTTTACTCCTCACCCTTAGAGTAGTATGATATCTATAGCCGTTTTTGTTCTACAGAGTTGAGAACGTGACTGAAACTACACAGAACCTATAAGCGTAAAGTACTTTCTTGACCTCTGCAGAAAAAGTATCCTGATTCCTGCTCCAGGTCATGATTATTTCTAGCTCCAAACACTTCCCTTTTGAAGTCTGTTTGATGTACTTATGCTGCTGGGTTTTTTTCCCCCATCCTGCTTATCTGTGAGCCTCTAGGACATTTCTCCATCTGTCAGTCTTCCTCTCTACTGTCCCACTGCCATCATCGTCCATGACTTCATCCCATGGATGACCTTTCTGGCACCTTAATTTTATGTGTCTTAAACTCTGCAATTATTGTATTCCTGATTCCATAATTCCACTTAAAATGATCCCATATAAAAAATTATCTTTCTTGTTTGCTAGAGCACTTCTCTTTTCGTTTGTCTTGACCGTGAGTCCTTCTGTCTGTCTCTTATTTTCATGTTTTAGTGACTCACCCATTATGACTTACATTGTCTTCCTATCCAGTTAATAGTCAGTACTTTGGAGTTCTCACTGGCACTTTTTGTACCCTCACCTTGTTGTTTATGTTCCTGTAACAGAATACCACAGACCAAATAATTTATAATGAACAAAAGTTTAGTCTGAGATCCAGGAGCTGCATCTGGTGAGGGCCTTTTTCTGCATCATAATATGGCAGAAGTTACTAAATGGGAACAAGCAGGAGAAAGGGCCACACATCGTTTATAAAGATGAAGGTGCTCTCAATATGGCTTTAATCCATTCCTGAGGTCAGAACCCTCCTGATCTCATCACTGAGAAGTCCCTACCTCAGTACTGTCACACGGAGGATTAAGCCTTGAACACAAGCTTTGGGGGCCACATTCAACCCACAGCACTAGAATAACTGTTAATTCAAAAGAAGAAGGGGAGCTCTCTTGCGTTTTATAGAATTTTGAAACTAACCTTAATCCTGTTATGTGAGGGACTTTGTGGATTTTGGGTTTTTTTGCAATTGGTTCTATGAAGCGTGATGAGGTAAAAAGAGCATTAATCTTAGTCTTGGTGCTAAGAAGCTGTGAGCATCCCTAAGCCAACTATCTAAAACCTCTAGGACTATTTTTTCTCACATATAAAAGGAAGATTTCTCAGATCTCTTTCAAATCTTTAAATCTAGAGTCTTCCTTTTAATCCTACATGTTACCACTTTGTGGCAAGGTAGTTTATATATCTGCTTTCCTTGAGTGCAAAAATTATTTGGTATTCATTCATGTATTTTTAGTACCTGGCACATTATAGGTACCCAATACAGATTTGATCAATTTATAAACTCATGTTATGCAAGCTTAATTTCGATACTTCTAACCAGCAAACTGTTATATTAGCTTTGTAGCATTTCGCATTTCCAAATGTTCCAGTTTTTCTTAGGGAACCATTTCTGTCTTTTTTCTGCATAGTTCCCTTACCATACCCCGGTACACCTGGCATGGTTTGCTGTCCCTCACTGCAGTGAGCTTACCAAAATAAATGAGTTGCTTGAAATGAATGGCTTCAGTTTTTTTCTGCTTCAGATTTTGCCTCACATCCTCTTTCTCTAGCTTTTCTGGGAGTGCAGGGTACTAGGCTGGTCTTTGTCGGTCAACCTCTCTCTCCCCTTGCGAGTCTCTTCATCTTGAATAGACTTTTTCCCTAACCCTGCCTCCTTCCCATGCTAGAGTAGAAGTTGCACGCCTTGCTTTTACCTCCAGACTTTTCAAAGAAGTTTGGACCTAATATCGTTGGCTTCAGGAATATAAAGGTCAATTTCAGTGTCTTAATTTTTGCTCTTAATGTTTTTTTTTTTTCTTCCTCTAAATTTATTTTACTAGGAAAAAGTAAATATGCTGGTGTGGTTGTTGTATATGTTGCAAATCTTTTTTCTGATACTAATTTAGCAGAGCGTTGAGTAATGTGTGCTATACTCATGCCACTGGATACTCTATGTAGAAGCTATCTTTGAGCACTGAAGACAAGCACAAAACCATAAAACATCTGGAAAACAGTGTGATTTATTTTTCTGTAGTCATTTCTGAACATGGGTTTAATGTTTTCTTTGCATCTGTCTTAAAACTTTTTAATGTATTTAAAACATCAGCACAGACATTTATCTGCCTTTAATTTATATGCATATTGAAACGTTAGTTTCTTAGGTGAATTTATGAACTTTGATACAAAATGTTTTGTTGTTTTTTCTGTTTATCTTACGTGATTTAAGATACAGTGCTTTTCATTTTTTGGTTACTTTAATGTGATTATTGAATTACTTATGCTAGCTAGACCTTAATGAGCTATTGACAGATGTAAAGACTTTTTAATTTTGACCTTCGTGGATACCCGGTTAAGTGGGTTGATACCCGTCAACATTGTGAAGGTGCTTCTTTCTGAGCACATAAACTTTGCTACTCCTTCATGGGCTTTGCTAGGAGTATGTCTTAGGTGAATATAAGCGCCTCATGTGGCTGCCTTCCTGGACCTGTCAGGCAGTTTCCTGACCTCCTGACATGTCATCTTCCTAGCCAGTAGGAACTAAAGGCTGTGTCCTCCACCCATACCTTGGCATTCTCCACATACCTATTGAAATTAACCACACCACTGTAATCTTGATGAATGCAGTAGCTCGGGAGTTATATTGATTGGCCTGGATTGGCTTTTTGATGGCTATGTAGCGATCCACTGAAATGGCACAGAGGTGTAAGATGGATGCAGTTGAAAAGAGAACATCAAGAAACAACCAGGCAGGACACAGAACAAGTGGAAGGGGCCACATAGCCTCTGAAAGAAAAAAACAACCAGAAACATTTTCTCTTGCAGAATGGCAACCTCAGTTTACAGTTTAGCTTCAGTTTTATATTTAACTTTAGATCTTGGAAACAGCAGTACTAAATACAATTATTTCTGTAAATTATACCTTTTAAATACCTGTTTCACATTGAATAATACAATACTTTTTCTGAGTCAGGGTATCACTGTAGTTCAAACTGGCCTTGAACTCAGTGATCCTCCTGCCTCACTGCTGAGTGCTGGGACTGTAAGTGCATACCACCATGCCTGGCCCAGTTTAACATTTTTAACAATATTTTACAGTGCTCTAGAAGATTTTCTGGGAAAGGTCATGTCTTAATCTTAGAATCTAGATGCACCACATTGGTTGGTATAGGGCAGGTACTCAGAATACCTCAGAACGGAACTTTAGAGAGCACTTCTAGACGATACTGGGCGTATCGTCTAGAAGAGTGGTGTGGCCGTAGACTGAGGAGGTCTTTCAAAGCAAAGACTTAAAGGGTAGCAGAGAAGCCTCTGTGTAGAGAAAATCTAAGCAATTTAATTTTCTCCTTCTTAGCCTTAGCATTCAAGTTGTCTTTGCCCTAAGTTTAAAGCAGACTAACAGACTGAACAGAGTGAAAAGAATCACCCACGACTGAGGGTTTTGCAGTGGGAGCTAAAGCGAAGACTACCTTCCAAACTGACCTAAAGTTTTAGATTTGAGGCTCCAAGCAGAGAGAGAAAAGTCCTAAGTTCTTTGTTGTTATTTTTCCAGCTTAGGCTGCACTCAGGCCTCCTGCATGCCAAAAGAGTACTTGGCTACTGAGCTGCACCCTAGCCTGTGCCTTCAAGTTTTGGGTTATAATCATATACACTGATCACAGTGAATGATGAAAAAGTGACTAATAGTCTTTCAATGCATGTTCTCTCTACATCATCTTTTAAAATGAATTGCTAATAATTTAAGTGTACCTCTTCTGAAAATTAAAGACTGGAAAATTCTAGTCATAAATCTTGCAGCCATGAGCAGGAAGCCACAAGAGAAGTCTTGTGTAAAAGCGCAGGTCTTTGGAATTTGACTCTCTGACCCACATACTCCTAACTGAGCTGAAGGAAAGCTTTTTAGCACTGATTTAAGTCTGTAAAACTTGTTAGCCTCTAGCTTTCCAACACAACAAATTTATCTATAAGCTCCACTTTTAGAGCAGAAAATGGGAATTATATTTAATGCGCAGCTGGGAGAGAGATATAACATTCTGTGTTTCATGAAGTACTAGTAAATAATATTTTTGTGAAACTCGACATAAAGTAGCCAATAACTAGTAAGTCAATAGAAACTTTCATGAAAAGCAAAAAAAGCAGAGTTTGTAGTAAAGAAGTGTTCTGATCTCCTGGGATATTTGTAGCTTGTGGTAGAGTACTTGCCAGTTGTGCTCAGGGACCTGTGTTCAATCCCTAGCACTGCACAAAAGGCTTCTGCAATTGTCTAATAGATCGAGGTGATCTAAGAATTGTAGAAATGAGAAAGAGTTCTAGACACTCTTATTTAATAAAGGGACTCAAGATCAGAAATACTTGAATAAAGATGAAGCTGGTATGGTAAAATAGTTTAAATATTTAAAAATGTTATTTGATTTGGAATTTTAGTTTGCTTTACAGATTTATAATTAAATTTATTTGTTATAATGTATTATGTGCAACTAATTTCCAAAAGGACTTGGACATTATTTAAAATTTGAAATAATACAGTTACAGGTCTAAGATTTTGTTTGTTTGTTTTTTGAGACAGGGTCTTACCATATAGTTCAGGCTGCATTTGAACTTACTATGTAGTCTAAACTGGCCTCAAACTCATAGTGAGCTTCCTGCCACAGCCTCCCAAGTGCTGGGATTACAGGTGTGCACCACCACACCTGGCAAGGTTTAAATTTTAAAAAAAAAGAGACCTAAGAGTAAATCTATGGGAAATAAGTTATCAGGTGCATAGGCTAAATTATTCCTTCTATTCTGGAGCTCTAAATTTGACTCTCATAAATCAGAAAGAAGAAAATATTTTTATTATATAGTATTTGTTGTCCCCTGGTAAAAAAACAAAAATTTCTCTGAAAAACAAATCCTATTTTGTACTTGCTTCCAAATTAAACTCAGCAGAATTAATTTCAAATGAGTCTTAAAGAATGTCATTTTCATGCATACCTGAAATAATTTTAGGCTGAGGAAGAAGAGCAAATATAAAGAGCAAAACAAGTCTTAGATAGGTCTTGATTATAGACAGTCAATTACTTATCTAAATACCATTCGTAGCCTAAATATTTTGTTGTTTAATGTGAAAATGGTAAGCTTTTAATACCATCATGTGTGGGGAGTGGTAGAACTATAACTCCCCAGCGGTGCAGCATCCTCACAGGCATGGGTCTACATCAGTCAGTCAGTCATCTCAAGGATTCAGACAAGTATTGGTCACAGTATTCTTTTTACCACTTAATGTGAAATACGCATTAAACTGAAAAAAAGACAAAGTTCTGCCTCTTCCCTAGGGGGGGGAATTATTAGATGGAGTTATGAGATAAATGTTGGCTCTGTATGCCAAACATGACAGTTTGCTTGACAGGATTTCTCATTTGTGTTTGAGAAAGCAGAGTAGTAGAGAAAGCAGCAGTTCAGAGTCTGAATTAGAGTCAGTCCTCCTGGATTCAAAAGTTCTAATGCCTCCTTCATATCTCTGCCACTTATTTCCTGATGCTGGACAAATTTGTTGTCCTCTGTTCCTCTGTCCTCTGTAAAATGAGATAACCATACGTGGTATATAGGGTTGCTTTACAGGGTTACAGATTCAGTGCAGAATGCGTGGGAAGTATTTAGAACAAAAAATGGAGAAGGCACTCAATAAAATGTTAGTTGTTACCGTTGTTGTTTAACAGAACCTAGCCAGCTAATCCAGCCATGGGAAATCAGAATCTCAGAAACAAGCCAGATCTCAATTTAAAGTAAGTTTTGTTTCTGCTGCAAGTGTATAGTGCATCTGATTGAATTTAAAGCCCAGGTTGGCCTCAAATTCACGAGCCTGTTGCCCAGTGTCCAGAGTAGCTGGCCTCCCAGGGGCCCCACTATGCTGGTATAAGATTTTTAATACTTCCGAGAGGCTGTGCCTGTGGAACTGACAGAGCTGTGTAGTATACAAAGTTGTTGGAGAAGGACAAATCCAAATACACTGTGTGTGCACCCATGTGTATGCATATGCATGTGTGTTTTACTGGGGATTGATCCAGGGTCTTCTCACTGATCTATATCCCTGGCCATTTTTTTTTTACTTTTTTGAGACAGAGACTTGCTCAGTCACTAAATTGTGCATGCTTTGTTTTAGTCTCAGAAATTCTAATGCTGCTTCTTTATCTTCCAGGAAAGAAAAACATAGTTCAGTACTTAAATTATTTTTATAAAGCTTCTGTTTTGTTTCATTACTGTTTTTCTACTGTCTTGGATTAGATGTCTAATATGATAATATCTGAAGTAATTTAATATTTATGAAAATACTTGGTTAACTTTTTAAATTTCTACTTTCCAAAAAAGAACTGCTTCCCCCGCCCTTTCAGAATCAAGCAGAAGAGTGCTCCACTCACTTGCCATGCGCATTTTATCGGGTCAGACTCCCTCCTACTAAGCTCCAATCAGTGGTATAGTACAGGCCGGGCGGGAGGTGACAGAGGTGGGCCTTGCTCCGCAGTCTCACCACTGTGGAAGGCGTGGAAGGACTCTGAGGGACCCAGTGATTGGCTTCACGCGGACAGAGCCAGAGTCCCATCCTAGCAGGCCGCACTTCAAAAACCTGCCTTCCAGCCGTTTTACACACTGTTCTACAGACACTGTGTCAACTGACAGATCCCAGAACATGCAGTAAGTTATAAATAAGTAATGGGAATCAAATGCCATGTATTTTCCTTTCACATTTTTAGTCATTTGATGAGAGATGGAAAGGTTTCGAGTGTTTTGGAGGGAGGCTATTGTTTAGTCTTTTGTTTTGGTAGTACTGGGAATTGAATCCAGAGGCTTCACAGCTATATCCCTAGCCCTTCTTTACTTTTTGCTTTGAGACAAGGTCTTACTGAGTCACCAGGTTTCCCAGGCTGGGCTCCAACTTGCAGTCCTTCCGCCTCAGCCTCTGAGAAAGCTGGGAATACAAGCATATGCCACCTTGTCCTACTTGAAATGTACCTAAGTGTACATATCCTGTCTTTTATGTCAGCATAAGATGTATTTTTTCCTGCTCAAGTATTTCTAATGCACACATTTTCAGGCGTTATGTTGTAAGCTGCTAAGTTGTGTTCATGGCTAACAAAAATTATGGGCAAGACAGTAAAAAACAAACAAAAAACTAAAACTGTAAAGATTGGGTCCCACACCTGTAATCCTAGCACTCAGGAGGCTGAGGCAAGAGGATTGTTGCAAGTTTGAGACCAGACTGGGCTACAGAGTGAGCCCAAGGCCAACCTAAATGGCATAGTGAGACTCTGTCTCAAAAAAGACAAAAAAAAAATTGAATCCAATGCTCCTAGATAAGACGAAATGACAGAAAATTTTCCTCGCAAAATTTACTCAAAAGGCTGGTGTGCCAGAATTGTCCTAATGTTGGTACACTGGAAACTCAAACAGTATGTAACTGGATACTGTGCAAGTCAGCAGCTGAATAAAATACCCTTCAGTATAAGGGGCACTTTTTAATCTTACTGCTCTTTTTTTTTTTTTCAACTTAAAATTTGAATACTGGCTGGCATACAGCTTCTATATTACTTTTATTGAATTTTCTTGAAATGAAGATACTTAAACTTCTATGACTTACAGAACAAGGACACTTCTTTGTGGACTTCAGAAGTTCTAAGATTAGCCCCAAAATTAGAGAGGAAGAAAAAAAAAACCATTTGTGCCTTTTAAAATTATCAAAAGTTCTAAATGCATTACTTTAGAAGGTCTTCACATTTATCATCATGTAAAAGGCTACCCCAGACCTGTTAGAAGTCACTTCCCTATCTGTACTATACATGGTTCCTAATCTATAAATGCATCCTGTGAAGTTTGTAGTGGACAGCATGCATCTCCTCATGCCTTTCTTATAGAAACAGAATCATATATTAAATCACAAAGTCAGACAGTTTCCTGTGTTAGTTTATTTTTTTAAAATGTACTAACACAGTTATTACATGAGGCTGTGATTTTGTTTTAAAAAAGTATCTGAAAGAATAAAATGTTAATATAGTAATTACTAAAGATAAATATGAAGATTATTCTACATACTTAATGCTAAAATGTTTGTTTTCCACTAACTTTTATTGCCAAGACTATCTTAGGCACTAAAGTTTTGTATATAGAGGCCGAGAATTTAGCTCAGCAACGTAAGTGCCTGCCTGGCAAGCACAAGGTCTTGAGTTCAATCCCTGCTACCAATATATATTTTATATATACATAATTTTATATAAAAGTTTTCAGTTGCTGGAATACCTAGTATTTTCCCATAGAATATATGGAGTTATATGTTTATTGTGTTTTTATATCATTGGCCAGCTCACTAAGGAGTTCTGTCATTTAAAATTCCTTAACTATTTAGCTGAAAATTTAAGTACCCACTGCAGTTATTTTGTGTGTAGTAGAGTTTTATATTTATAGACTCAAGGATTTTTAAAGTTAAAGTTCACTTGTGTAGCTCATTCATTTATTCACTGTAACATATTAGCTAAAGTTTACCACAGTATGAAACAAGCATTTTGACACTTTTGGTAAATCTGGTGAAGCCATGTAGAGTGTGATTTAATACTTTGAGCCGCTATTATGAAGATAGAAATGAGAACTTGAATATTATATTGTGCCATCATTATATATTTCTATTACTTTATATCTTTCTAAAGTAAGACGTCTTCATTTTCTGTAGTTCTGTGTAGCATTAGATTATTCAAAAGATAACATATAAAGGGAGGAGTATGGGTAGAGTCATTAGAGAATCTGATGAAAGGCAGTAGGACTTCATTCATTATTGCTTGTCCTGACACAGAATTTTCATGATTGATTAGGTAATGTTGACTTACAATGCAAAATTTAAACTTACCGCCATTGTGTTATATTTGGGAGAACAAATAATTTCAGGTATCTTTCTGTTGTTGCTTATGAAAAGAGTTTAATAGCAGTTTCTCTTTGCCTTCGAATTTAATAAATCTGTGCATTCTAGTTTAATTAATTTCACTGTATCTTAAAATGTTTATACTTAAAAGTAAATATAATTCCTACAAGCCGTACCTACTACAGATAGTCATTTTTCTTAAAGCATTTTAAGAAGGAATATCAATTTATACCAAAAATTGACTAAGTATCTTTTTAATGCTGATCCTGAGATAGGAGTCTTCATGATTTATCAGAATTATTAGTGTTTACTCAGTTCTTGTAACTAGAAATGATATGCATAAGTCTGCTTTTATCTATTTTAATATCTTTTTATTTTTAAATTTATTTTAATATGTTTATATCTTTTAATATCTTTTTATTTTATTTCAATATCAAAATACATTTTTTATTATTACAACTCAGGTTTGGTCCACTTATTTAATTAATTTTAAGGTTTATCAAGAACACAGAGGGTTGGGTATCATAAAAGGTTAAATAGATGGATTGTCCCTTGGGATACTCTGAGCCAGACCATTTCCTTTAGCAGTGAAACATCATTTTTTCTTAATTTGACAGATGTGTGGGAATTGTGTTTAAGTTCAAAGTGCGTAAATTATAAAGAGATGTAACAAGAATTTGTAAAACAATTCCAGATTTAAATCAGGGCTTAGCAATTCCGAATTTAAATTGGAGCTTAGCAATTTATATTGAGATTCAGTGATTAATTATTCAAAGATATTATTATTAATAACTAGCCCAGCACACACTTGTCCCCAAAGTGTTCTAATTACCGCTTCATTAAGGAAAAAGCCTAGTAATTATACTTTCTAGGTAATGTATATAAAATCTTTTCATATTGCTAACTCAAATGACTTTCAAAATAATCTTTTGGATGGCTGAAAAGGGACAAGATTATTTCTAAAAAACTCAGTTTTTGTTCTTTTAAATTGCTTATTGAGGGAGCCGGAAATATAGCTCAGCAGTACAGCACCTGCCTGGTAAGCACAAGGTTTTAAGTTTGATTCCCAGTACCAAAAAAAAAGAAAAAAAATTTGATTATTGACCATAAAAAAATTATGAAAAGTGAGAGGCTATTATTTGCTGGGTAGTTCAAGTTTATCTAATTCAAGTCCATTTTTTATTTCAAAGAAAATAAAGGGTAAATAACTGTCCAGTTCTGTAATAGTATATGATACAGTTCTATGACTCAGTGATAGCAACAAAGTGCAATACTTACCAAACATTATTGTCAGGAGTGCAATTGGCATCACAAACAGTCCAACCAGCAAGTCAGCCACCGCCAACGACATGAGAAAGTAATTGGTAGCGTACTGCAGCTTTTTCTCCAGTGAGACGGCCAGAATAACAAGGATGTTTCCCCCAATGGTGGGTATTATCACCATGAGTATCAGAAGAGCTGCCCAGTTCAGCTTATTTCCCTGTTCCTCAAAAGTTTGTTTCATTTCCTCTGGGATTGATCCTTTCTGAAATCTAGACCAGTTAGAAGAGATTAAGCCACCAAGTGTACTTTGCAAAACATGCTTGGGAATTTTGCTTTGTTCAGACATTCTATAAGAGAAAGCCATTTGCTGTTTTTCTGATCCAATCCAGTTCCAGTTTTCTGTGATGCAGTCCACGGTCAATAGCTAAGCAGGTCATCTCCTTTTTTTCCCAGGTCAGACACTCAAAGCCAAGTTGACTCCTTCCTTTAAAAACAAAAAATTTCATGATTTCTAAAATGATAGCATACACACATCTGTCCATATTTCTAGGTAAGACTTCTAAGTTTAGTATTTTGTAGATTTCAGAAAGCTCAGTGCAAGAAACCAATAGTTAGAAAAAATCAACTATTGGTTTGTCTCTGTCTCTGTGTCTAACTCACTGGCTGTAGTTGTAGAGTTGTGTTTGACCTTGACTGCCAGAATTCCTCTAGATACAGATATGTAAATTGCATTATTTCCAAAAAGCAGTAAAAACATTTGAATTTATAAGCAGCCCCTCCCTTCTCTGTAGATCTGTCATACATTTGATAATGCAGCCAGTGCCCACACACAAAAAAATACTCTGAATTTGCCTCTAAATATTAATTGTAGAAATACATTAATTTTTCAGTGGTTATTATAAAAACTGTTTCCTGACCTTTGACTGCCTCTTTACTCTAGAAAGTACAGAATAAAACAGGGAAAGTACTAGTTTGCTATACTCTGGTCACCCACCTAGGAACACTCCTTAAGGTCTAAATAAATTATTTGCCCACTAGGAATCCTTATATGTAATTGATTTCTCTGATTAGGTTTCATTCTTGCCAATTTAAATGCCATTTTTATAAACATGTTTTGGAATTTCTTTAATTTGAGAGAAAAATATAGCTACTAGCAGTGTCTAAATAGTCATTTTTAGTAATTTTACCTTTCATACCATGTTCTGGCAGCAAGTATTTTTTAAAACTTAACATTAAACCTGCTAAACTTGAACCAGATCTTTTTCATTTGTTTAAGTACTAATTTTTCTGCTTAATTTTCCACATCTCCCACCCTTAAGGAGGAGGAGAAGCTAAGAGGATGATTAAACCATTTGTGTTAAAATTACAAGTCTGATATTAAAAATCTCCCCTTTAACATTAGTAACTTTTTCATTTTTACACCACTAAATAGAAGTGGAAGATTATGGAGGCAGAGCTGTTAAAGGTTAAAAACCAAAGCACCAGCAGCAAACCCTGCCCAGCAGGTCCCTAGTGATCCGCTACTCACCTCTCTTTGGCTTGGGACTGCGCCATGCGCTGTTGTCGGCTCTACAGTGGCCTCGCTCACCACAGTGACTGAAGTCCTCCTCCCACTGACTAATTTGGAGCCTCCAGCACCACACTTGCAAGCAGTGAAGCAAACGTGTTGTGCAGCTGTAAGCTTGCCAGCGAGGCTATTTCCTCTTTGATATGTTCGTTTTTAGAGAGCACCAGCATTCGTTGTAATTCATAAAAACTAGCACTTGAGACCTTTACTCAATTTAGAGACTTAAAAACTCTTTGACATCTGAGAGAGTTTTAGTAAAATCTTTTAAGTTAAGATCATTTTGTTTGGAATTAATCTGGGCTGTTTTTCCTGTTTGAGGGAAAAAAGATATCATCTAGAGATTCTAAAGTTTTTATTCAAAGAAGATTCCACACTGTTAGCTTGTAGAAATTTCCACCGTTCTAATTTCTAACGGTGAAACAAGATTCTTACTCAGCGTGTATGCCCTTGTGGTGGAACACAGTTAATTTGCTCCGGTTGCGACCTTATATAGAAGAGCACAGGAAGGTCTGAAGTCAACATGTATACATAGGTTTCAGCAGAAGCTTTGTCACTGCCCGTTTTTTGTTTTGTTTTGTTTTGTTTTTTGGGTTTTTTTGCCTTATTTCAGAAAATTGGTGTATGGATTTTAGTAGTTGTTCTGTTTTCTCTGAATTGTGGGACTAACAGTATTAGTACGGTAGCATTCTTGATGTCCCTTTTTTTTCTTTTTTCAAATCCATTTTATTCAAACATAAAAAGAAAGAAATAAAGTAAAACTACAATAAAATGTCAAAGCACATCAAGCAGGGTGATGTGCTTTTTAAAAGATCATTATGCATCACTAAAATTTTATTTAATTATTTCTAGGTCAAAGGTGCCATTTATGTCCCTTTTTGTTGCCTGAAATTTATATTTCTTAGCTTGTGTTGGAAGCTACTGGAAAATAGTTCCTTTCTGTTCTGATAATATCGGGGAGTTTTTTCAGTATTCGCTACTTTTGTAAAACTCAGAATTCATTATTTTAGAAGCACTTGCTAGGAATTATAGATAACAGATAAACATAATACTTAGCAAGTAGATGGATTTTTATGACAAAATTTCTAATCAATAATATAAAAATATTATTAAATATCACTTTATCCTGAACCACGATTTCATATCTGTTTGTACAGAAAGGTAGGGGGTCTTTAAATAGTGTCTGATTAAAAACAGCAGCACCATTATATTCAATGAAAAGAATTAAACAACATAAACCTCCATTATAGATAAAATTTTTTAAAAATATTTATTGAGGGGAAAAATATTCATTGACTAAAAGCCAGGCATGGTGACACACAACTGTAATCTCAGCACTTACGATGCTGAGTCAGGGAGCTCACCACAAGTTTGAGGCCAGCCTGGGCTACATAGCAAGTTCAAGCTGAGGATAGACTATAGGACAAGAGCCTTGCTCCAAAGATAGATAGATAGATAGATAGATAGATAGATAGATAGATAGACCGACCATATTCATTATTTTCTAAATAATGTTAGCTATTATTATTTGCTTGTGTTAACCCTTTCATTTGCATTCACTCAAGTTTCATTTTCTTTCATTCAACTCTTTAAGTGACTAAAGTTGCTACTTTTTAAATGTTTCATTTTGTATTTTTAATCATTTAATGTATGGGAATGTAACAAGTTAGAACAACTACTTGGCAGTATCAGGTTACTGAGAGCATAGTTGAGAATCAGAACAGAAAAGAACTAATAAGTTAGATAATTATGTAATTCTATAAGTTCAGTAATTATGTAAAAGAATAGATAGTCTCAGAGTTGGCAGGTAACTAAACCCAGCCTCTAAAAACTCCCATCACTTTAAATGATGACCTGTAGGCCTCCACTAGTCTGTTTACACACACAGCAGCAGCACATACACAGGCAGATTTTTGCCACTGTCACCTCTTTAATGAAAATAATGTTTGCACATTGCAGTGAATCTAAAATAGCACAAATAATGTTCACTGATGAATACACTCGAGACAATTTTAACTAGTGTTTCTCTTCCTGCTTCAGATGAGAGTAACAAATTAAGCACTTTGATGATAACAAACAAGATCAACTGAAAAAAGGAAGAATTACAAAGTATAGACTTGTAGCTCTTATCAAATCAAACCCTGCATAGCTTTATGTGGAATAATTGATGGCATAGTGATAATTCATATTTTTTTAAAAGGCCAAGCCAGGGGTGGGAGTGCATGCATATAATCCTGGCACTCTGGGAGACTAAATCAAGCCCAAGCTGAGCAGTTTAGCAAAATGGTAAAAAGCCAGTCTCAAAAAATAGCCCTGGGGTTGTGCTTGGAGATGTAGCTCAGTGCAGAAGCCCCCGGGTTCAACCCCAGCACCCCAGTACCAATGAGAGGGCAGGGTAAGAGCTCGCTAAATCATGTTCATTTAGCTCTTTGGGATTTCAGAAAATAAGAAATACATTTTTACAAGATTTCCACCCATAATGAAACATGGTAGAGTGAGGTTGTTTTGTTTTATTTTGTATTTGGTACTGGGTATCAAACTCACAACTTCGTGCTTTCCAGGCAGGCGCTTATGCCTCCTGAGCTAAATCCCCAGCCCGTAGAATGAGGTTTTAAACGTCTGGAAACTTTGTGTAGAATACCCCACTTCCAAAAACCAGATAAATTAATTCCTACTTTTAAAAATGGTTTAATGATCAGATTTAGCCTCTAATCTCTCTATAACAACAACAAAAACCCTGCCTAAGTGCATTTTTCTAAGATAATAATGTTTTCTCTCTGAAGCCTTTTAAATTTCTTGAACAGATTCTATCTTTGACTTAGAAGGTCTGTCTCATGTCTTTTATACAGCTAAGACAGTTTAAACATCAGCCAAGGACATGTTTTTTAATCTCTTATTTTGTCACATCTATCAACAAACCATTAAAGACTGTTGAACAATAGGGAGTTACCTCTTACGCATTGACTCACTGAGTGTAATAGACTCATGGAGACACATTGGTGAACAAGACCACCTTTTTCTGCCCTCATTAACTTCTATCTTTAAGGGATGCAGACAAGCTTATTGCTAGTTATAATACAGACAAGGGGAGCACAGACTGGAAACCAGGTCATTTGCCATTCTGCTTTTGCCTGCACTCCGCCTGTGCAGATGCAGCCTGAGGTGAAAGCTTTGGGCTTTGCAAGCCTTTCTTGCGCATGTGTCCTTGATTTCACGTGCATCCAATGCTGCCCGTGCGTGTGCCATTTCAATTTGGTTAGTCTCTACAGGAGCTTTTAAAAGCCTTTGCTACTCACGTACCTCCTTTTTCTTCCTTCCCAGACTTTTTAACCAGATACACCATTAAGTAAATATACTTTTATATTCAACATATTGGACATGTGAAAAAGCTAAGTAACGTTCTGTACTGATAAAATATGTCAAATATTGATGTCCTTCTCTATCTTCTACCTGCATATATAAAATCACTATTTTTATGTGATTTTATGTGACCATTTGTAGACACTTATTTTTGTCAGTATATTCATGGAGCCATAGAAATGAGCTTGTATTGCTGATCAGGGGTTAATGAGTTAAGTACTTTGCCAGTAAATGCTTGTACAAGGGTATTGTAACAAACCAAAGGAATTACTTTTTGATGTTATTTAACACTCCAGTGTTTTGTTTAGAAAAGCTGAGATTTAGGGAGTATCAGAATTCTCTAAAATAATTGAGAATATCTATTTATTTTCTTTAATCCACCTTGTGTGCTTTCTTCTCTTCCCCCCTCTTGCTCTTTCTTTTTCTTGCAATTTTTTTTTAAAAGCAGTCCTGTTTAGCGTTTCACAATGTAGATTTTGGTAATTCCTTCTCCTAGTTTGTAATACATTTGATCCTGTATAGTTGCATGTAAACCAATAATTGGGCTTAGATACTCAATCATTTTTTCTCCTGTTGTTTATTTATTGAGGAGCAAGGCTGGCCTTCTACAGAAGGTCTGTGTCTCTCAACTATGTTAGCAGTCACTGATAATCATTGAGATCCATGGACTCACTACTGGTTGCAAAATGGTGATAGAATTTTATCATGACTTCACTTTTAAACTTATTTTAAGGTTTATAAACACATCACATGTCTCTGTGAGGTAAGGATTAATGTTCACAAGTTTCAATCTCAGTGAGTATTTGCATTCTGATCATTTGGAAAGGTTCCTTTGTCCTTTTAGAGCTGCCTATTAATGCATTGAAATAAACATGTAAGAATAGTATACTTTGTTGTACTCTTGAAAGAGGTGGAACATCTAAGCTAATTTATTAAAGAATTTGTCATTCCTTACCATAACACTTTCTTGCTCAAGAATGTATCTGAAACTGTTACCAGATTGAGAAAGTGGCAAGTTCTTTAAAATAAGCCTTTGTGTTTAATAAGCCTTCATAGCCTGTTTCAGCTTTATTGCAGTTAACTAGGGAAAGCTTTACATTAGGCCCACAGCATTTATGTTCCCAGGCAAAATTTTCCAAACCTCATGAGATCACACCCATTAGGAAACACAATTTAAGTCCAATCTCTATCCCTTTTAAGACCTTGTTTCATGGTTGGTTTAGGAGAGTATTGTTGAGGCTTTAGCTCAGTGGCAAAGTGCCTTCCTGACAAGCACAACATCCTGAGTTCGAGTCCCAGTACCAGGGGGGAGGGAAAGAGTAGCATTATTGCCAGGTGTGATGGCTCACACCTGTAATTCCAGCACTCAAGGCTAAACCAGGAGAATCACTATGAGTTCAAGGTCAGTCTGCACTACATAACAAGACCTTGTCTGAAAAATGTTAGTTAATTAAATTTTTAAAAATTTTAATAATACAAATTTTGTTGTAAAAAAGAGAGAAAAAAGTGCTCTAAAGGATACAACTGCAAGTGTGTTTAGGGGTGTTAAATAGCTGATCATATTAATGTTTTTGGTTGGATCATTGAACACAACTGTTTGCAGTCTCTCTGTTTGAATGTTCACTTTGTATGCTTTGGTACTGTGACTTGAGCAACTATCTCTAAGATGATAATCTATTAACTGGTGATTTCTTACTGTTTTGTTTTGTTTTGTTTTTTTGTTTTGTTTCTTTTTTTGTAGTTCTGTATTACCTGTACCCTTACACCGCTTTATTTTGTTTTTTCTCTTTTTCCTTTTAAATAAAATTTTTTTTAAAGTTTTTTTAATAATAATAATATTGTGATAGCTTATTCTCAGTATAATACTTTCTTAACAAATGGAAATTATAAACTACATTGTTTAAAATAGATTTTAATGTAAGCCCTTTCTGTGAGTCAGTGTCTCTGGCATATCCTGCCTTTGCTGAGCCAGAGGGCACGCTGGTTACGTACTCCAGGCCCTTAGTGCCATAAAAAGTTGCTGAGAAAATCTG